ACCTGTAAACCAGACTGCATCCTGAATTCTTCTGGCTATCTCAGATATCTGGCTATGAAACATTTCCAACTTGCACCCATTCTTCTGATTTAAAATCACTAAGAGCAAATAGAGCCCTTGAACCTCCTTGGAAAGAGGGAAGGAACCATACCAGGTCCATCTTACTACTGATGGCAACCGCATCTCGGACTTGAAACTTGGGTCCACATCTCCAATTTAAAAGGGCTCCTCCAGACTTTGGAACTGCGTACCAGCTGGAGGTCTGAAATTAAAATTGCTTGAGGAGTTTTCTCCCAGAAGCAGATAGCATCTTTAGGTGGACAGCTTTCCTGAGATCAGGGATGGATCAAGAAAATTCACCTGCAATATAAAAACTATTCTTTTTGCCTTTTCTCTACTTTTTTTCTCTATGTTAATGCACAGGAAGACAGGATCCAAAGCAGGCTCCACATTGACAGCAAAGAACCCAATGTGGGGCTCAAACTCATGAACCATGAGATTATGATCTGAGCCAAAGTCGGGCACTTTTCTGACTGAGCCACCCAGGCGCCGCCAGCTAGCCTTTTTATTGAGAGAGCTCCGATGCGGAGGGCTGGAGGTCAGATTTGAAGTGTGGCAGAACAGCTAGTCACTCATGGAGGCTGGGAGGGCTCTGAGATGGACGACTCGGAACACGTACGTTGTACAGGGAGCTTTCAGGTGTAGTGAGAAACACAGACTTGGTTAGAATCTGAACCTCACTGTTTTTTGTTTGTTTTTTAATTTTTTAGTGGAGGTGGGGTGTGCAGAGAGAGAGAGAGAATCCCAAGCACTCTCTGCGCTGTCAGTGCACAGCCTGACAGGGGGCTTGAGCAGAGACGGATAAACACAGAGCATGAGCATGGGAGGGGCAGAGAGAGGGAGAGATACAGAATCTGAAGCAGGCTCCAGGCTTGGAGCTGTCAGCACAGAGCCCGACACAGGGCTTGAACTCACAAATCAGGAGATCATGACCTGAGCCGAAGTCGGATGCTTAACCAACTGAGCCACCCAGGTGCCCCTAGATCTATATTCTTATAGTATATAAATATATATATTTATATAAGAATATACTTATATAGTATATTTACGTTATATAGTGTGTGTGTGTGTACAGTATAAGAAACAGAACCACAGGAGACAAACATATACGCACACAGAATCCTCTAGCTTCCGCTCTGTACAGGCTAGAAAACCAGCCATCTCCGGCCCAGAGCTCTTGGCACCACTTGTTTCCTCAGCAAAATCGGGTGCACTGTGCCCTACTTGAAGGTTGTCAGGAGGATTATATGGGAAAGTATGTCCATTTATTGATTTCATTCAATAAAGTTGCCTCCTTCGCGCCAGGCCCTGTGCTAGCCAGAGGGGATATGTGTGGGCAGAGGGCGGCCTGAGATGGCGGGGGGGGGGGGGGGGGGGGGGGGGGGGGGGGGGGGGGGGGGGGGGGGGGGGGGGGGGGGGGGGGGGGGGGGGGGGGGGGGGGGCGGATCACGCGGGGCTTGGGAGACCAGGGTAATGATTTCAGACTTTGTCCCAAGTGCAGCAGTGTGCCTGCCACAAAGGGAGGATCCATTGCATGTTTGTTACTGAGCATTACCACCTGCACACCCTGTCAACATATCTAAAATCAACGCCAGCCATCTTTGCTCCATAGTCCTTCCCTCTGAACCGACTGCTTCTTTCTAAGGCCCTCTCGCTCTCTAGATTAGACGGCTCAATATCTTTCATTCTTAAATTCTTTTGTTCCCTTTCTGCCAATTTGTTTTTTTAATTATCTCTCATATTTGATCCTGAGCTACTTTATCTCGCTGAGCCTATTTCTTCCTCTCTCCAATGGGGCTAATACCCCGTAAGAGGATTAAATGAGCTAAGTGCATGTAAATTGTTTAGCATGGGTCTAGCATGTAGCAGAAACTTAAAGGTTGGCTCTTGCCACTTAGGGCTAAGAATTGGAGATCTATACATAAGCAAGAGGAAGTTTCTCTGCCTGAAAAAAAGATGCTTGGTCTACCTCATCAGATTAACTTTAAGCTCAAATTTAATGCTCACTTATCCCACACTCCATTCTGTTAACAGCATAAGGCCCAGGACCCTTGTAAAGCAAATTCCTTGAGGCAGCTGCCCTACCTTCCAGCTTTTTCACCTCCTACCTCACAGACCAAACTAAAGCATTTAGTATTACATAAATATTCCTCCTGGTTTATCGCCGGTGTTTGCTGGTGCCACTCCCTCTGCCTGGAAAGGCCTAGGCCATATCACAAAACTCCCTGTATTTGCTCTGTATTCTTCTATCCAGCAGGTATTCGGTGCCTACTATGTCCTAGCACTGTTCTAAGTACTTGGAAGACACTTGTGTGAAGAAGACAAAGCTCCTGCCCTCAAAATCTATGCAATGGCAGTCAGGACAGGCAAACATCACACACAAACATATTTTAATATATAAGAAGGCAAACCTATTTCCTACGCGTCAAGTTTTGGTTAAGCGTGGTGACAACAACATACACACACATCCCTTCTAGCAAAGCACGAGCTCAGAGGCTGAAGCCAGGTCTTACGCAAAGTCTTTGTATCCTCATATATTTGTAAACGCTTCGTATTTTTGTCAATAATAATATTCTGGAGATTTTTTTTTTTTACGTCATATACTAAATTCCTAGGGGCGTCTGGGTGGCTCAGTCCATTGAATGTCTAACTTCGCTTCAGGTCATGATCTCACGGTTTGTGAGTTTGAGCCCCGCATTGGGCTTGCTGCTGTCAGCTTGGAGCCTGCTTCAGATCCCGTCCCTCTCTGCCCCTGCCCCACTCATGCTCTCTTTCTCGCAAAAATAAAAATTAAAAAAACAAAAATTAAATTGCTAAAGAGTAATGAGAGCTGCATTCAAATTCAACAAAATGAGGCCATCTGTGCCTGCTTGTGCACCATTCTTTTATTAAGAGTGGTTAAAGAAAATGTCTTATGTGTTCAGATGGCAGAATTTTTTCTGGCCAAACACGCCTATTTTTATAACGGTCTGTGTGTTCAGAGTACAGGCTCTTAGCTGGAGTCTTTTGTTTTTAAGATTTTATTTATTTTTTTAAACATAATTTTATTTTAATGTTTATTTATTTTGAGAGAGTGAGAGAGGGGCAAAGAGAGGAAGACAGAGAATCCCAAGCAGGCTCCTTGCAGTTGGCATAGAGCTTGACTTGGGGCTCACACCCACCAACCCAGAGATGGTGATCTGAGCTGAAATTAGGAGTCAGGAACTCAGATGACTGAGCCACCCAGGTGCCCCTTAAGATTTTAAGTAATCTCTATACTCAACGTAGGGCTCAAACCCACAACCCCAAGATCAAGAGTCACAAACTCCAACTGAGCCGGCCAGCTGCCCCTGAGTTGGTCCTAAGTCCAAACGGTTACCATGCTAAACCCTTAGCCTCCATTAAGTGCCGGGAGCCGCACCGGCCTCTCTGGATGGCAGTCACAGCAAGGAAATGGCAGTTTCCAGCTCCTGCCATGAGAAATGAAAACTGCTATCTCCTTCTGCTACTACTGACTCATGTTGGATATAAGCCTGCTGGTATTGACCAGGCCTCACAATATTCCATATCAGACCCGTATTCTGAATACAGATACCTCATAAGGAAAAGCATATTCCTGCCTTTGCAAGAGAGAGTTTAGATGAAAGCTCTGTGGATGTTTGTCAAAAGGCTCTTCCTATGGGCCTTGCAGATCCAAGACTTAGATAATAAAGGGGGTTAAGAACACAAGAGTTACAACTGAGCCTGGCCCCGAGACAAAGAGCCTAATATAAAGTTAAGGTACAGATAAGGGCAGAACATAAGTTACTACATGTATCTTTGCTTAATTGGTGATGCATAGCAGTCCCTTCCTCAAGGCCTACATTCCACAAACACCCTCCCTTACCCTGGCAGCTGGGATGAGGATAGATAAGAGTAGCTAACACATAAACCCAGATGCAAAGACTGACATATTTATGGCCCCCATGGTGCTTGCACATTCAGCATCAAGGAAAAGCCTTGCTCAAGCAACTTAGGAACAAGCCTAATATACATTCTTCCTCTTGTGATTAAAAATTGTCTAGAGGCCTACCCATGCAAAATAAGATAAGTTTGTTAGTATCTTAATCTGGGGGACTGACGTCAAGAATATTGGGAGGTTCTGCAAGAATACTTTTGTAAAGCCTGTTTCTGTACACCTTCCGCTGATCAAAGCATCTTATCACAAATAATTAGCCCCTGTAAAAATTCTGTCTTCTGATGTCATGTTATTGTTGAACCTTAAAGACACCAAAACCGACAGGACAGAGATGCCTGCCGGGTGATCAGAAAGAATCACGGGGCTCTCTCACTCTCTCTCTCGCCGACACCGTCCATCCTTCAGGGACCCCTGGACCTGCCGGAGCCAGCTTGGCCTCCAGCATTTAAGACCCATGGAAAGTAGGGCAGCTAAAGGTGCATACCAACTGGGTTATCAGTGAGAATTAAAGGAGTTCCTGGTATACAGTAGAAATACTTACTGATATCAGCTATTTTGTTATTATTATGTGGTGGGAATAGGCTTTTTTTTTTTTTTTTAAAGATTTTTAATGTTTTATTTATTTGAGAGAGAGAGACAGCGTGAGCAGGGGAGGGCCAGAGAGGGAAGGAGACACAGGATCCGAAACAGGCTCCAGGCTCTGAGCTGGCTGTCAGCACAGAGCGCGACGCGGGGCCCGAACCCACGAACCGCGAGATCATGACCTGAGCCAAAGTCGGACGCCCAACCAACTGAGCCACCCAGGCGCCCCTGTGGTGGGAATAGGCTTAATTTGCTTTAAATATACATAGACACTTGTGTGAGAACCTAAGTATTTCAGGAAGCTTCTGAAAGAGAAGAGAGTAATTTGGAGCAAGGACTTTTGTGTGTTTTTTTAAAATTATAATTTGATAATTGAAATAAATGAACATTTGCTAAGAATTTAAGGAATCCATAAAAGATCCACATTTTCCTCTGATGATTTATTGAACCAAATTCTATGTACAAAGTGACCTGGACCTGCTGCTTCAAAACATGATCGTTTCTTAATAATATTTTGATAAGTCAGTCTGTTGAGTGTCAAAAAGCAACTCAATCTAAAATTGACAGACAAGTGCCCAATGTACACTAAATAAACGGCCTAACTACGGGAACTTCAATACTCCTACAAGATAATTAACATAGGTAGGATCTGGCCCCTGCGACGGGCTGCTGGAGAACTGATGGCACATGTCAAGAGGCCATCTTGTGCACCGCCACCGTGATGCCGTCATGTTTCTGGATCATAATGTTCCTGAAAGGGAAAGCAGAAGATATTCAGTAATATGTTACACGCATGAGTCTGCTGAAGATTAAAGACGCTATTTGGTTTAGGACACGACTAAAAAAATATTACTTATCATTTTTCTATGTATGAAAGCAACATATGAACACAAGAAAACATGGGAAGTACAGAACAGTATAAAATATGAGAATGAATCCTGTAATCCTGCCACTCAGAGACAACCACTACAAATGTGTTCTGGCTTTTCAATCTGCATATATATTATACGTGCATTTCCCCCCTCTTTTTACAAAACTGTGATCAGCCTGTGCATAGTCCTGTATTCTGCTTTTTGTCCCTGTCATCCTGAGGATGCTCCCTTGGAATATCTTTAGTATTTCTAAGCACAGAAGTAGTTTCTGTTTTCTGATTGGTCTTTATGCTACCTATTCTTTCTTTTTCTTTATAGACTGATAATAGTTCATGACAATTTTCCCTCTTCTTTTCAATGCCACTGTGGTCTGAAAGCCCATTAGCTTCAGAGGTCAGTTGGCTTCCTCCTGTGGTCCAAAGGTGAAGAAGAACCTTCCTCCAAGTTCCCTGAATGCAGAATCACTAATAACACAGAGCAGGCCCCACTCAAGTTTCCCAGGGATTTTTCAGATTAAAAAAGAGAGGGTCTGACAACATCTACTCACCCGTTATCTGACTCCAGACATACCACAGGGATATCGGTGGGGTCTGAGGTTAGCTTGGCTGCTTGCTGGGCGAGCACAGATATCACCCCAGCGTGCTCATCTGACAGGGTCCCACGGCCTGAAGACAGAGATGGGATCATGTCACCTGACTGTCCAAAAAGGAGTATGGAATATGAGACAGAGAAATCTCTCATGATGTGTTCCCAGAAAGAAGGCTCAGTTCACGGTCCTTCAGGTTAGGGGCTGACATGAAATACTTTTGCCCTGATACTCAGCTGGTTCCATAAATGAGAAAAACAGACAACAGTTCTGAAATCAATAAAGCCCGAACACACACTCAATTTTCAGTCACTCTCATCGCCATCTCTAAACACCTTCTCAAGCATATCAGGAAGCTGTAAATTTAAGTCAATCTGAAAGCCATAAAATAATTTTACAAGAACCTTACTGAAACCAGTAAGAAATTCAGAGGTGACGTTGACAAAGAGCAGCCAGTAAGGGCAAGAGACTTGTTGAAACTAATTACTTCCTCATGGGAAATTGGATTTCCTTTTACTGAGCTCAACCTTAAAGGACTCAAAAGGAGTGCAGCTGTAAGATCAGTTCAGCTGTTAAGATCACCTCGACAGTATATGTGAATATTCTATGAGCAGTGATTTCTACCAGAATAAGCTGGCGGTTTTCAAATACCAACCTACCTGGCTTTTTGCTAATGTTTGTTTTAGCCAGCAAGATCATAACTGAATCTTGGGTGTCAGATACAAAAAGTAATTACTAAGTTCACAATATATTTCTACATAATAAGGCAACACAAGTTCAAGCCTGAAACTATGTCAGGTACAGTCGGGGAAATTTACTGTTGTTAGTAAAAAACTAGCTGGACTGACAGTGTAGTCTTTCGGGCCTTGAAGGCTTCTTGAAGGAACTTATTTCACTTTAAATTTCCACACTTGAACTTCCGCCTTTCCATCAGCAAGCACCTTGAGTAAACCTGCCTTTTTCCTCCCAACTAAATGAGCTGTGTGAAATCTGAGTTATGCAGATAACCTCTTTTAGTTCCACTCCCAGCAAAAATTCAGAGCTTTAAAAATTCCCGCAGTAAAGAGGAAGGAGTCAGGAGTCCTTGGTTTGTGAGTTCTGATATGAACTAGCTGAATGCATTAGATACTTACTCTTCAGGGTTTATCTCTTCATCTGTAACTCTTACACTTACTGAGCATTATGTCTGGGTTCTGTGCTGACTGCTTTACGCATATTCTATAATCTTCCAGCACTGTGACTAAGAGGTTTTGGAGCAAGACTCAAATCCTAGCTCAACCCGAGCAGCATGACCTTGAGCAAGTCACTCAACCTGTGCATTGATTTATCTGCTTCACAGGGTTGTTATGAGGATTAAATGTCTCAGTATGTGTAAAGCACTTAGAATGGAGCCCGGCACACAGTAAGAGCTCAATAAATGCAATCCTGTAACTATTATCATTATTAGACAACAACCCAGTAAAGAGATTCTGGGTCGGCATAGCCATGGCAGCTCGGTGTCCTTTCCACGCATGTCGGCCAACTGCCCTTGATTTCACTGCCCAAGGCCCTCACCCTGTGCCCCACGGGGGCCTGGACGAGGACTACGGCTCTGCAGGTGGCTGCTGGGAGCTGCACTGGTCTCGCTGGATGACAGTCACAGCGAGGAAATGGCAGCGTTTGCACAGCTCCTGCCATGAGAATCGAAAACTGGTATCTCCTTCTGCTACTACTGGCTCATGTTGGAAATGAGCCTGCTGGTATTGACCAGGCCTCACAATATTCCATATCAGACTGATATTCCCCACACAGACTGCTCATAAGGAAAAGCATATTCCTGCCTTTTCAAGAGACTTCAGAGAAAAGCATTGTGGGTGACTGTCAAAAGGCTCTTCCTATGGGCCTTGCAGATACAAGACTTACACAATAAATGGGGCTACGAACACAAGAGTTACAATTGAGTCTGGCCCTGAGACAAAGAGCCTAATTTAGAGTTAAGGACACATATCCACCCCCACCCAATTGTTTGTGCTTGGAGTAGACCCCCCAAGGCATTTGTGAGTGACTTATTCTGGCCTTGAATATGCTGATTGCTCCCTCTGAAGGAACCTATTGAGGAACTTCTTCTTTTGTGATTATGGGAGCAAAGGTGTTTCCTGAAAGACCTGTTTTTCTTGATACTTCTCCTTAAACAAGCTATTGACTCCTGCTCACAAAGAACTTTACCCTTTTTATGCTGAAAACACTGTCTTGTATGCTAAAGGTACCTTCCTTCCCCATAGGATAAGCATCTAAATCCCCTACCTCAATCACTATTTTTTAATGTTTTTTTTTTTTTTTTTTTTTCTGAGACAGACAGACAGTGTGAGCAGGGGAGGGTCAGAGAGAGAGGGAGGAACAGACTCCAGGCTCTGAGCTGTCAGCGCAGAGCCCGACACGGGGCTTGAACCCACAAACTGCTTGAACCCACAAACTGCGAGATCATGACCTGAGCAGAAGTCAGACGCTCAACCAACTGAGCCACCCAGGTGCCCCACCCTACCTCAATCACTATTGATAAAGGTTATGCAGGAGTCCTCTACAAATCTATATTCCAGGAAATTCTTACATATCAAAGAAATTTGTCATCAGAAATCATTGTCTAAGGCAAATGCCACTTCTGTGCCGTTCCCCAAACAATTATAAAGTTGAGCCCCAGTCAAAGCGGAGATGCCTGCCTCGTGACCAGAAAGAATCTCAGGGCTCTCATTCCTCCCTCGCTGACACCGTCCATCCTTCAGGGACCCCTGGACCCGGAGCAGGCCTCTGACAGGTGACCGTGGTGCTCACATGGTTTCCAGGTAGTTACCCAAGTAGGGTGCCAGTACAGTGACGTGCCTCCTTTGATGTTTAGAAGGAAATCAAGGACCATATTCATTATTGGCTTAAAACTAAAGGATTTAAGATTGACCCATAAAGGCTCTAGGTACATTCCCATTTAAAGAAAGACCAAACAGCTTAGACTGTTTGGATCAAGCAGAGATTATCATGGACATGGAGGAAGACTTTGGGTTGAAATTCCTGATACAGATATGGAGAAGTTAATGCGTCCACAAGAAACTATAGATTACACTGCAGATAAGAAGAACGTATCCGACCCCTTTTCTTCACTCAGAGACACAAGGAAGATACTGCTGAGTGCTGGGAAGTGAGAATGTGTTTTGGCATTATTGCTGACTTTGACAGTAATTCTGTTTAGACTTGTATTTAAATTGCTTACGTGTTTTTGCCCTTTGAAAATAAATCTGTAAAACCAACCAAGCAACCAACGTTACCCAGCAAAGAAACTGAGGCTCAGAAAGGCTATTTTTGGTCCAAGTTCACACTACTGGCAAAGGGAAGAACAGGGGGTTGGTCCCAAGTGTGTCGAGCTCCGAAGCCCCTGATTTTATTGCCTACTCGCTTACTGTTCAGTGTGGTTGGACTAACACATAACAACATCATCTTGCTGGGTTGCTGTGAAAATCAGAGATCGTGTATACAAAGCCTAGCAGTCGACGCACATTTAATAAATGATACCTGCTGCTATTATCTGGAGCCCTTTCCAGACCCAATTTATAAAATCATTCAAATACTATTTTAGCAGACACAACTTTGTAGTGCTAGAACGGTAAACAACATTTCTACCTTCATAAATACCAACTGAAAAATTTTAACTTTCTAATCTTGTTTGGAGATAAACTGTATCTCACAAAAGTACCCAAGGGCATGATAACAGGAAGTAAAAACTAGAGACTAGGCTAGGCTCCGAATTGGTATCAGATGCTATGCAATCCAACAAAGAGTTGATGATAAAGATACTTACAGCCCAGGTTAAGTCCTTGTGAGTCTGTGCAGAGAACTCCAACAATGGATGGATTCTTCATTCTAAAATTCCAGGAACCCCCGGGGAATGAAACAGATGATGTCAGAAAATGAATTTAAATAATTATAACCACACATTTAGGTTTTTCTATGTACCAGGCATTGCTGGGCTTTGAACCCGTGTTTCTCAATCTTTTTTCATTATCACTCCCTCCCTCCTACCCAACCCCCCAACCCCCGAGAAAAATTAAATCACAATGAACGAATTTAAACTTTATTTTGTCACCCTTATTAAAAATGCAGAAAAAAGTAACACCGGTTGTGGTGAAGCGGGGAAATGGGAGAAACTGAGGAGCCTGGTGGGAGGAAGCTGTTTCCCTGCACACCTCCTCATACTGTTCTCTCCTTGTTGTTTTTGGGTTTTTTTTTTTTGTTTTGTTTTGGTTTTTTGTTTTTTTGTGTTTTTTTGGCGTTTATTCCTTTTTTGAGAGAGAGGAGACTGAGCACGGATGGGGGCGCAGGGGGGCACAATCCGAAGCAGGCTCCAGGCTCGTATCAGCACAGTGCCAAACCCGCCGCTGGAACCCCTCAACCGAGAGATCATGACCTGAGCGAAGTCCAATGCTTAACCGACTGAGCCACCCAGGCGCCCCTCATACTTCTCCAATTTTGTTTATTACGTGGATGTTACTCGTTCGAAGACTTAAGAGATGGCCTTTCACTTTCTCAAGCACCAAGTAACTGGTTACACACGGAAGGAGATCCGTGTGTGTTCATATTTACATTGCAGGGCTCGCTCTGCACCCCTGGTAGAACCTTCCCCCAAATGAACCCATTTCTGAAAACTCCTGAAGAACGACCCTGTCCACACAGACAACTGCAACACGACGGGCCGTTCTGGCCTTGGCTTTGGGCCGCGGAGACTAGCTCTGGAACGGAGGGTGCGGAGCCCTGGCGGGATTTTAATTCCGGGTGACCCCCTCCACTCCGCGGCCCCGGGACAGGGCTCGTCGTCTCTTCCCCGCGACCCGAGAGTCCCCAACACTGCCGGCCCACACTCGGAGCGCACGCCCTTTGTCCCGCTCAAGTCCCCCGCCGCGACGTCAGGCCAGGCCAAGAAGCAGCACTACTCACGTGTCCTCCAAGTGCTGCTCCAAGGTCGCCTCCATCTCTCCCGCCGGCCGCCCGGCCCGGGATCCCGCACCTCGTCGCGTCCTACGGCGCCCCAGGCCCGGAGCGCGTCTCGCTCACATGACCCAGGCCGAGCGCAGACCTGGACGGCGCCTCCAGAGGGACAAACTTCGCCGCGCAAGCTCCTCGCTGTGTTCGGCGGAGTTGGTTCCCCCCCCCCCCCCCCCCCCCCGGCGGCCCGGAGCCACAGCTTGGCGGCCCGCGTTACCCGCGCCGGGGGAGACATGTGCAGCTGGGCCGGAGTCTTGGTTCCGGCCTGGCACTTTGTCTCAGCGACGTCAGCCTTTGGATTCCCATTCAACCGATTCCGAAAGCTTCGCGCCTGATCTTATTTGCGTTTTACAACAACCCAGCGGGTCAGGCGGGGTCTGATCCGGGAGGTGTGGCAGAGACAGAAGGGAGACGCAGGAGCCAGGTGCGGGGCTGCACAGGCAGGGAGGGGAGCAGATGTGCACACAGGGGCTGGAGGACCGCCTGGAACGCGGTTAAAACTCCAAGCTACATATTGAGAAGTGTAGGGATTTTAACAAAGTCATTGACTGTTGGTTCTTCTTTGGCGAGAGCTCAGGAAAGTTTGGGAAAGAAGATGTCAGTTGTAAAGAAAACTGGGTAGGGCTGCTTAAAAATAATTTTTAAAAAGCAGGTTTTAAATAAGGAAAGAAAGCCACCCATGGTTTGCCTAGAGAGGACTTAAAAGCCCTTGGAGCCTATCCTTTGAGCCCATTGTCCGCAAATATATGCTTTTATTTATTTTTTTCTTTTTTAGGCAAAATTGACACACATACTGGACATGCAGTTCTGTAGCTGGTCCTTTTTACAGAATTTAGCATAAATGTCTTTCCATATCGATAAGTATCCGTTTACATCCGTTATAGTAGTTACAAAACATTCCATATTGTGGCTGTACCATAATTGATTTGATAATCACTTATTAATATCCAGTTTGCTTGTCGATTTGGCAGGAGAGGGGATGTATTACAAATGCTGGGTGAGTATCCTTGTAGCTGAATATTTGTGCACTTTAAAATTTTCCTTATGATAAATTACTGGAATGGAATTACTGGGTTAAAGGATATGTCCCTAGCTGTGATAGTGAAACTTGAAGCTTCCGTAAAATTCTAGTCTTGAATGTTGTAATTCAGGCGTTTCGGAATTCTGCCTAGAAAAATTATTTATGTTATAGTATGAGCCATTTAAGTTTTTTTAAAACATATTTTTATTTATTTCTAGGAGGGAGAGAGAGAGAGAGAGAGAGAGACAACATGAGCAGGGGAGGGCCAGAGAGAGAGGGAGTCACAGACTCCGAAATAGGCGCCAGGCTCCGAGCTGGCAGTCAGCACAGAGCCCGACGCAGGGCTCGAACCCACGAACCGCGAGATCATGACCTAAGCGAAAGTCGGACGCTTAACCGACTAAGCCACCCAGGCGCCCCGAGCCATTTAAGTTTTAGAAAAAGTAGCTTAAAACTACCTTTAAAAGATAGCATTTAAAAATGTAAGAAGCCAGCTTCCCTCCGGAAGTCCTGCAGGAGGAAGCTCTGCTCTGCTTTAGCGCCCCCTATGGTCCCATGCGTTGTAAAACTTCACTGGACTACGTAGGGCTTCTCAGCTCTGGTTTTGTAACTTCCAGGGCGGTGCCGGCCTGTAGAGATCTAACGTGAATCGTATTTGTTATTTTCCACCATCTTGCCACACTGAAAAAGTAAAGCAGGTGAAATTAATTTTAGTAATATATTTTATCCAGATAATTGTGTCCAAAGTATTGTCATTTCAACATGTAATCAATTTAAAAGTACTTAGATCTTTTACGTTTTCTCCCTCTGTGCCAAGTCTTCCAAACCCCATCTATATTTCTCGCAGCCCATTTCAGTTCAGATTGGCCACCTTTCAAATGTTCGATAGCCACGTGTGGCTAATGGCTACCATATTGGCTAATGCAGCTCCAGGGTATTGGCTAATGCAGCTCCAGGGTATCTCTGCTGATCTCGAAGCCAGATCAATGATTAAAGCATTCTCTGAAACGCTGGTGATTGGTTTGTAGGCTGCAGGAAAGGCCTCTGAAGGGAAAAAGAGCAAGTGGGGAGAGGATGACCGCTGGCCCACCGTGTCCTTGCCACACCAGAGGTGGGAGGGCAGACCACCCCCTCTCTGCTCTGTTGCTGCTGGCCCCTTCGCAGTAGGCGGAAGGAGAGGGTAGCTGGTGTAGGCTGGGAAAGGGCTGGGGGTTGGTGAGAAGTTTGGAGGAGAGCCTGACTCCTCGCTTTCTACTTTCTTCAGTTGCTGGGGTTTTTAATGATGCTTTTTCTTAGCTTTGAGTGCTGATTCCCATTTCTGGAGTGACAGGAAAAGTCCCATATTCAAATACTTGCCTTATTGCATTGTAGTTTTTTTTTTTATATGTTTACTTTTCAGAGACAGGGGAAATATCTTCTCCATTTCTGCATCTTGAGCCTTGCGAGCACAATAAGAATTCAGTATTTATTGAAGAGGGGTCCGTGGGTGGCTCGGTCGGTTAAGAGTTCCACTTCGGCTCAGGTCATAATCTCACGGTTTGTGGGTTCGATCCCCACATTGGGCTCTCTGCTGTCAGCGCAGAGCCCACTTTGGATCCTCTGTCTCCCTCTCTCTCCGCCCCTCCCCTGCTCGTGCTTTCTCTTTCTCTCCCTTTCTCAAAAATAATTAAAACTTTAAAAATTTTTTTAATGTTTATTGAAAAATCTTGATGGGTCTTTTGGAAAAGGAACTCAATGTAATGTTAAGAATCTTAAAGTCGTGGGGCCCCTGGCTGATTCAACTGGAGGAGCGCGGGACTCTTGATCTTGGGATTTGAGTTCAAGCCCCACATTGAGTGTAAATATTACTAAAAAAAAAAAAAAAAAGAAAAGAAGAAGCAGAAGGAAGAAACTTTAAGTCTTTTTTATGTTTATTTATTTATTTTTTAATACTTTATTTTTTTAAATTTTTTAATGTTTTATTTATTTCTGAGAGAGAGAGAGACAGCGTGAGCAGGGGAGGGTCAGAGAGAGAGAGAGAGAGGGACACAGAATCTGAAACAGGCTCCAGGCTCTGAGGTGGCAGTCAGCACAGAGCCCCATGCAGGGCTCGAACCCACGAACTGTGAGATCATGACCTGAGCTGAAGTCGGAGGCGTAACTGACTGAGCCACCCAGGTGCCCCTATTTATTTATTTTGAGAGAGAGGGCAGAGAATCCCAAGCGGGCTCTGTGATGTCAGCACAGAGCCTAGCTAAGGGCTCTGTCCCACCAACCATGAGATCATGACCTGAGCCGAAATCAAGAGTTCAACTGGCTAAGCCACCCTGGCGCCCCAGAGCCTTTTAAGTCTTGAACTCTAGCCATACTTATCCTCTTCTTTCTCCTCTCCTAAAATATGCTCTTGGAAAATAAAAGTCCCAGGAGGGTCCAGCAGGGAATGCCCACGCCCACATGTCCTGGGTGGGAAGTTGGAGATGAGAGGCGTAGTTGGGAGAACCAGCCCTCCTCGGCCCTCTCATTGCTGATGGCCCCAGAGATCTGGCACCTCTTTCCTTTTCTTTCTTTCTTTTTCTTTCTTTCTTTTTTTTTTTTTTTTTTTTTTTTGTTTATTTCTAAGAGAGAGAGAAACAGTGTGAGCAGGGGAGGGTCAGAGAGAGAGGGAGACACAGACTCTGAAACAGGCTCCAGGCTCTGAGCTGGCAGTCAGCACAGAGCCCGACACGGGGCTCGAACCCACGAACCGCGAGATCATGACCTAAGCGAAAGTCGGACGCTTAACCGACTAAGCCACCCAGGCGCCCCCTGTCACCTCTTTCTTGAGCTATCAGCAGCAGCGTCCTCCTGGGGGGGATCCATTTAAGAAGTGCAGCTCTGGTGGAGGGTCTAGCCCTCCCTTGGGTGCACGGCGGGGGGGGGCGTCTGCTACCCCAGGGCCAGCCCTATTGGTCCCTCCGTCGTCAAGTGGGTAACATCACAGGCCTGCAGTGGAAGGAGCCTGAAACCTGGCTGGGGAATGGGCCCTCGTGTGCCACTAGGGGGCACCATGACTATGGAAACCCCTGCGGGCTGGAGGTCCCCAGGAGCAGGAAAGGGAGTCACAAATCTCTGAGCTGGTACAGCTTGGTGAGAAATAGCATTCTCTTTTGGAGTCGGACCGAGGTTGAATTTGAATCTTGGTTTGAGCTGCCTACCTGTGTGACCTCTGTGCTTTCGGGGCTCATTTGCAATATTGACAGTACATTACCTGCCTCGTCAGGTTGTGGGGAGGATTACATGAGATACTTTATGTAAGAAGAGCTGGTGCATTGTGGGAGTCAATAGATAAGCTCTGCTAAATCTGAGTAAGAAGCCCTGTTTGTTTCCTCAAGCTGTTTACAATCTAGGGGAGGACACACATGAGAAAATAAGGAAGAGTTCAATGAAGACAAGAGCCAAATGGTGAGATGTATCGTAAGCAGTCTAGTGTGCACAGGAGAACGAGGTCCCAGGGCTGGATTTACATGGCTGTTCTAGAGCTGTGTTAAATGCGATAAGTGATTTTTTTCCCCTAATTTTTAAAAAAGTTTATTTATTTGAGAGGGGGTGGGGGAGGGGCAGAGAGCGAGAACCCGAAGAAGGCTCCGCACAGCCAGCACAGAGATGGACACAGTGCTCAGTCTCACGAACTGTGAGATCATGACCTGAGCCAAAATCAGGGTTGGTCGTTTAACCGACTAAGCTACCCAGGATCCTCTGAATATGTTTTATTCCACTTTTGTATGGTATCAAAATTGTAAAATACAGATACCTCTATAGAAGAAAAATCACCTGAAATCCTAGCCCTAGCCCTAATGACATAAAGTGCATGAGCTAAATAGAATGGGATCGGATTTGGATAAGGTGCAGACAGGGAAAGGCATGTCACAAGGTTCATAAGGGCCCTGCCGCTAAAACCTCTTACTCAGTAGGAGCCACCGGATAGGACGCTGGGTCCCTACCTTTGGATAGTGGACACTGCCTGAGAGCTGAGTCCTAGATACAAAGCCTGACCACTACAACTAATAGCAGTAATCCCATTAGCAGTTCATATATGTAAGTGACAGCTGTGTTGCAGGCAATTCACAAGACTTATCAGTCCTCACAACCTTTTCTGAGTTTTGTCTTGTTTTTAAGAGAGTATTTATACTCTGTTTTTTTGTTTGTTTTGTTTTTTAGTTTTTTTTAATTCCACATAGTTAACATGGAGTGTAATACTTGTTTCAGGTATACAATAT